ACCCCCTACCCCAAAAAAAAATTAAGTTTGTTTTTTAAAAATATTTTCAATTTCAAAAATTATTTTCTACTTTAGTAAAAATAAAAGATATTTCTCAAAAATATTTTTCATTCATAAATCAAACACTAAAAATCTTTTTCGGAAAATATTTTCTATTCACCAACCAAACATGAGAAAATAAGTCAAAAATCTACTTGTTTTCAAGGAAAACACTTTCCTTCATACTAAACACACCCTAAGAGTTTTGGATTCTACATTTTTTTTTAAAAAGAGGGGGAGTTCGAACCCACAACTCTAGAGTGAAAAGCATTTCAAACCTATAACTTTAACTTGTAAAGCATTTTCATGGTCACTTTTTTACCACTGAACTGTCAATCAATTTTTTAGGAGTTCACAAGTTAATGTAAATGTATATTTATTTATTTGCTAGTATAAATATAGAATATACGGAAAATCTATTGGATTCGTTCGAACCCACGAACCCCCACCTAGCTCCGCCTCTACTAGTAGTAGATTTCTCTAGTTACCAAAAAAATATTTCAATCATAAAAAAAAAATACAATATGTACACTAATTAATAAGATTAAATAAAGTTACAATAAATACAAACAAATATTTCTTATTAAAAATATTAAAAGTTCTTTATCATCTCATCACATCTGTTATAAACATTATACATTATTATGACATCTGCTAATATATTATGACATTGTTTGGACTGAGAGTAAATTTATATTAGGGGCGGAAATGTTGCGTTATAAGGAGAATGGGATCGTGGGTATTAATTATGAAAGAAACAAGACATAATCATATATAATTAGGGGTGGGTCTTAAAAATAGACGAATTTAATTTTTAAATTAAGTGATATATATATCACAACTTATAATAGGCCATATAGCTATTTCAAATTGCAAAAAAGTCATCAAAACAGTTGTTAGTTTGGGGGATATTTTTGAGAAAAAAATAAATCCTGAGTATTTTTAGATCAAATAATCGAGAAAAATATTTATAAATCACTTTTATGCTTAGAAATATATTCACTTTATCAATGGATTTTTCTAATTACTGTTCAAATATTATTTTTTATTATATGTCCCATTTTATAAGAGATAAATAAAAAACAATTTAATATAAGTGATTTGTTGTAAATAGAAGGTGTGTTCGGTATATAAAGAAAACAAAACATAAATGTATATTTATGAGAGTTAAAAATGCGTTTGGTGTGGAGGAAAATATTTTTTTCAAAATGTCTTTTTTATTTTATTACGTTTAGTTGGAAAAAAATTTTGAAAACAAATTTCTTAAAAAATAGAAAAATAACTTCCTCAATAAAAATAAAAATAGGAAAAAACAATTTTCTAAAAAAAAAAAACAAAAAAAACAAGGTCTATATTTATTGTAGTTTTCCACCCACCTAACGTCCGGTCCTGTCATCCCCGAGGCCCCACACCCCCATTCCTCTCATTACAAAACACTAAAAACTAATAGATTTTGTATAAAAATATTTTTCATGAAAAATATTCTTCTTCGTATTGTATTATATATATATAAAGATCAACGAGGAAACTAAAAAGTGACGCATGAAAATTAAAATGGAGGGATCATATCGTACTTAATTTTACTCACATGGGATAAGGTCTTTAGATTTAATAAGGATAAGGCGAAGAGGAGCACCAGAAAAATTTGATATATATTTCGTTTTATTTTACATGATCCTTATATCATAATCGATATTACAATATACTTGTTCATTTTAATAAATCAAAAAGAGTTTTTTTTTTTATATTCAGTTACTTGGAAACTATTAAAAAATTATTAATTTATAATATTAATGGGACCATATATTTATATAGGGGTTTTCTGAAAATATATTATCTTATCGAAATGAGTGATTTTTTCTATTGGTTCAAGTCGGAACTGGAGAAAATTATTATCTTAAAGAGATTATTAATTAACCAAATATTAATTTAGTAAGGTTTTACTATATTTTTTTATGTGTCATTAATTATATGATTTAACCATACGCATTGTCTGGCTTTACCTTGTGTAATTTTAAATATTTTTCACGATTTATCATTTGATACCTTGGGCTATTTCTATCGTATAATATAATGACACCTATAGAAAAGTGTCATTAACGCTGGGATAAAGGAAATAGTATTAAGTATTGTTTTTTTTAAAAAAAAAG